AGATCGTGACCTTGCACGAACACACAGACAAGACCTACAGGGACATAGCAAGAATAGTAGGCGTCAGTCCGGCAACCGTCAGTCGTGTGGTCAAAAAGAAAAAGGAAACGGGATGCATTTCGCCAAAACGCAAAGGGAAATGTGGTCCTAAGAGGAAAACCACTGCCAGGGATGACGCTTACCTAATACGGGAAAGTGTTAAAGATCCTCGAAAGATTAGTGACGCATCAAAACTTGATTTGGGGGAGAAAGGAATAGAAATCAGTTCTTCAACGGTTCGCAGGCGACTCCTGGAAGTTGGTCGGAAAGCCAGACGGCCTGTGAAAAAACAACTTCTGACAAAAGTAATGAAAGTTAAGCGTTACAAATGGGGACTAAAATACAAAAACTAAGCAAAAGAAGATTGGAGAAAAGTCCTAATCAGTGATGGAAGCCATTTCTATGTTCATGGTCAGAGAAGTCAGTATGTTCGGAGGTCAGAGGGAGAAAAGGTTCGTAATTCCCACATTGACCACTTTGTGAAACACCCACAAAAGCAGATGTTTTGGGGGTGCTTTAGTTATTACGGCGTCGGCGCCTTGCATCCTGTCCAGGGCATGATGCGCTCTCCACAATATATAGAAGTTCTCCAAAGAAGAGCTGTTCCAGAACTAAAAAAGACATTTCCTGACGGATCTGGCGTATTTCAACATCTTGGGTCCCTGTACCAAACTTGAATTAAAGCTTGAATAAGTTTCTCCTTTGTCGTACAGTCCATGCCACGAAGGCTTTGCTTGCAAATAGACCACATATTTTCAATGGGGTTTAAATCTGGTGAATTCCCAGGCCAGTCCAAGATGGTTATTTGATTAGTATTGAAAAAAGTCTTGACCATTTTTGATGTGTGGCACGGGGCCAGATCCCGTTGAAGAACTGATTTCTATTCCTTTCTCCCCCAAATCAAGTTTTGATGCGTCACTAGTCTTTCGAGGATCTTTAACACTTTCCCGTATTAGGTAAGCGTCATCCCTGGCAGTGGTTTTCCTCTTAGGACCACATTTCCCTTTGCGTTTTGGCGAAATGCATCCCGTTTCCTTTTTCTTTTTGACCACACGACTGACGGTTGCCGGACTGACGCCTACTATTCTTGCTATGTCCCTGTAGGTCTTGTCTGTGTGTTCGTGCAAGGTCACGATCTTCATGCGCCTTCTGGGAGTCACGTCCATCTCAAACAATGACTGAATCACAAAAAACAAGAAGTTGAAACAAAAACCTTACTAACCATAAAAAGTATGACGCAATCTTGGGTGATGTGACGACTAGACATGCGCAGTTATTACATCGTCTGATTCACAAACAATGATGAAATATCTATTCCCAATATAAAATAAAAAATAAATGCCAAAAGAGCAGCTTTCATGTATAAAAACATGATATTCATAGAAAAAGGGACACAATCGTAGTTTGTTTCAATTAATGTGCACAAGGATGTATATAGTTAAACAGTAGAGTCACATGGTCACTGCGAACCAGTGGTGTAGTTGTAATTATTCCATAGTTCATGAGTTATTCGTTTGCGAGCACAAGATCAAGTATCGACGGCTTGTTAGCAGTTCGAAATCTGGTGGGAGGGGTTACGTGGTTGTACAGAGGATAGCTGGAAATTACCTCTTGTAAACAGGCTTCGAACCGCATGCTCTGGGTCGCCGATATTTCCAGATCGTGTACACTAAAGTCGCGGGCGATGAGAATGTGACTGTATGTCTTGCTCAAAGCAACCTGAAGAGCGTGGTTTAGTTTGGAGTCCATTTCACAAGTAAAGTTTGGTGGACGGTAAATCACAGCTATATGTCATGTGTCTTTCTTCCGTAACCATAACCTGCACCTAAGCAAATCTGGGGCACGGATCTGTGGGTGGTCCATAACTTCACATCAGTGGTTAGACTTGTGTTACAGAATTACGTCACCACCACTTCCAGCTCTGTCATTCCGAAGCGGTGACATATCAGGTAAATTGACTTCAGAATCTGCAATCTCGAGGCTTAACCAAGTCTGCGTAATCATAATGAGGTCCGGCAATTGTGACTCCTGGCGTTCTCAAAGTTTGGCCAACTTACTAAGAAGACCTTGGGCGTTAGTATACAAACATGATAGTGATTTGTTGTTAGAAGTGGACAGCGAATTGGTGTTTAGTTTTAAGCCGGCCGTTCCTCGGTCTGGCCCCTAATCGCTTTTTGCGTGTGTAATTGGTTCTTAAATTTCAGGCAGGCTGCATGGTGGCATGGAGTATCCCAGATCGAGATGTTCCCTCGTGTGTCTCCCTGTCCTGTCAAGTTCCGTTAATGCCATATTGTCAACAATTGTGCAGGATTGTGGGAGCCAATCTTTTACTGAGGTTGCATGTTCCAATGAAGTGGTGAAAACTAGTGACCGTGCACCTGCTATCTTTAGCCTAATCTCGGTAGACAACGCGGATCGATGCTTCAACCAGCTATCCAATAAGGCTTCCGTCATTCCATCGGTGCGTAGCACGATTTACAACATTTTTTCATAAATTCAGTGTAAAATCCTTATTGCGAATCCCTCGAGTTGAGTTATACTGCAGTTCGTGTGTAGACCGATCTAAATAGTCCTTTTTATGTAGCAGGTTGAAAAGCACCAAATCGTCGCATCCAAAGTGGTTCGTTTGAAGTTTGTCACGACGCTGTCGATACTTCGTCGCGGGCTGCTTACCAATCAGATGTTTAGCAAACGACCTTTGCATATCAATTCTGTCTTTCTCCTACTACCTTATTTTATGCTGCAGTATTCGGGGATGGGACATGTGAGTAGTTTAAAAAGCTAAACTCTAGCATAGATTGTGTGGATGTTGTTGGATATAATGAACACAGATTGTTAGGCACGCGATAATTGGTATTGGGCCTGTTCGGAATAATTGTAAGTAGATGACTACTTGATTACTAGATCGCGCGTGAACAGCTGTGTACGGATACGTTCATTGATTAATGCGATAGATCCTTCAGTGATGGAACAGCCGTAAAACAGGATGCATCGCAGATGGAACTCCACTGCTTACGATTATCAAGCAACTTGTTCTTTTGTGCCGGATTTGGACTGGGGAACGTTAATGCACATAAGCGTTAACGCACTGTGGTTTCCCCTAGCGATTGTCAGTTAGAGAGTTGTTGCTCGTGCTTTGGATTGTTTCGGGTGCGCCACTGGAGATGGTCGTGAAAGCTGCGTAACACCGCTTGTGGTAGATACGGAAGACGGACTTACGTGTATCGTTGAAGTATATTTATCAGGACGACCGATACGTACGTTACTCGTTTTTTCCTCTGCATTGAATTGACTCCGGCTCTGAGCTGCCGGTGTTGTGACCCATTTGTTAGGTGTAGCTTCCATAGATGTGACTTGCTCGATTAGGGGATTAAGATGTGTCAGAGTAGGTGACACCGCAGGACGGAGTTTACTCGGTGACCGAGGAACTTAGCTCAGAATGTGTTGCTCCGTGACAGGTTCAGTTATGTCCACTTCCAGTAGCGAAGCCATGAAACTGGTCACGTGCTCAATTGTTTCAATCCGTTTTTCCCACCATTTTTAAACAAAACCATACAATTGGCAATTGCAACATATAAGCGCACCCGGGTAAACCATAGTGCATCAGTCAAATTGTTGTGCCTTTTTGTTACGCCAGCATTTTTGGGGTAGAGTGAAGTTTAGCAGGCCAGCATGGTACTGACCACCCGGGTGCATATGGATTCCCCGAATCGCCATACAATCGGATAATGTGACGGCCGTTTTTGTAAATGCACACTGCGCCTGACCTATCACGTGCGGTCGAGGATGAGTCATCATCTAATACTTCGTCACCATTGCGGGCTTGGCCTCGGTAATTGTAGCAGATTTGCCAAACGAATGACACACGTACATATGCCGTTTGGCTGCGCTATCGATCGACACTAGTTCGTGTGAGGTTAGGCTCCTTAAGGTGCCTTGTAGTGTTAGCGATGGGCGAATGTAATCGAAAGCAACAATCCAGTCGTTGTTTCCTTATAAATGATCCTGTAGGAGTGATTCTGGGTTCGCTAGAAGGCGCGGAGAATCCTTTATCGAATCTGGTTTCGCAGCTGTGAGTTTTGCTAAGTAAACAACAAACTTGCATTTGTGAATGTGAGCATGAAGAGTGCTGCAACAGTGCTAGTTGTAGGAATCATGATCTGTCCACTGTTTGTTCTACATTGTGAACGGCGTACTGACTCTCCTGAACTCTAGGCAGGAATAATCGCTCATGTGCTACTCCAAACCCCTTGGTGAGTCATGTATCTCACACGATCTTTTACTGACCCTTTTCTTTTTGTAATTGCACCCACACCATCCTACGGGACATGTGAAGTACTCGCTTCTATACCCGTCACAAACCACTGATCCATTGATGTCTGAATGTTACTAAGCTCATCTGTGAAATGACGTCCCAGCTTCACTGTGGATGAACTCAATATCAACTGACTTCGGGATAGGCCATTTGGAGCCAAAACGAATGGTGTCGGCGACCGAAGATTTCGCAAAAAATCCGCAATTAAAGGTTTGAAATGACTTTCGGGGCTACATTAGCTGAATGTTTAGACGAATATTCTGACGCTTTGTGTTGTCTTATTCCCTACAAAGTCATTTCACGGTGTGTAGCTACCTGTTTCCCCCTGCGGAGTGGGTTTATTTAAACACGAATCACTCAGTAGTGATGGAATTGCAGCAATTCTAGAAAGCTTGGTAGACTACTGGTGAATGCATTTGCTGGGCTACATTAATCGGTTGTCCATCAAGCTTTCTCAGTAGATGAGTTTCCGATCAGTTCCAAAATGATTCAAAGATATGGAATTACATCAACACTTACAATAGAAAACAATATTTGTTGAAGTCAACCAAATTATCCCGCACTGGATAGCTCCACCGTTTACTTAATTCAAACAAATCGTGAACCGCAGTTATTTAACAATTGTGTTTCACTGATCCCATTCGGCAGCTCAAAGATCCTTGCTTCATGTCTATTGGAGATGCACTACCTGGCAACGTGGCATGTGCTGTACGATACGGAAATTTGTGCATACCGGATATGAATGCGTCTCGGTATGCTTGCAAATGCAACACCCACTACAGTAAAATGCCCAAGACCACTCTACCGCGAGGTAGACTGCTAGACAATTGTTTGCGTGCATTGGACCCGTGTGCAATTAAGGCGTGTAGCCATGGGACTTGTGTCTTGGTAAGTTTCATTTGCCATAGCCCCTAGTGTTGTTTACTTTAAGCTAAATATTAGATTTTATTGTGCTGTCTGGCAAGGTGTTTTTGACATATGTGCCCTAAACCCAGTGAACACGTTTGGCTGGATACGCTGGGTCTCTGGACCTTGGATATTTCTGATCTGTGCATTTCCACCGTCCCAGAAACCGTACTTGTGTATGTGGTCTATGTGCGAGGTGCAGCCCACCGAACACAATCAGTATAACAACACAATCCCTGGCAGGTACTGGGCGTGTGGTCCTTGACTGCGTTCTCCGAGATTTTATTGAGCCAGTTGCTTACTATTATGTCGGGGTATTCGTCCCACCTCGGCAAATTGCAGTACTGCTCATTTCTCGATCCATACATCCCTTCGTTGATAATAAATGTTATCCGATTAACAGGCTCTAAGTTAAGCCGTTGAACACCTGTTCATTAGCATCATGGGACGTGGTGACATTGGCGTTTACGTCCACTGATTGTTACACGTTTTTCCGCGCGATTTGTTGTCAACCTGAGAGCGTGAACAATTAAACTTTGTTGCTGTAGGTACGGTAAAATCTCCAAAGTTGACCACCCCTATGTGCTGACCATCTCCTATGGAACCAGACCACTGTAATTTGATCAGCTCTGTAAGTTGTCGGTTGACCACTTGGGCTAAGACAGTCAGTAAGAATTCAACCTCCATAAGTTGACCATATGTGGGCTTACCTACCAATGGTTTCGGAATAGCTCGTTTGTTCCGTTAACACAGCGTGCAGCGGGACTGCGATGTGTGGACTTCTGACCCCAAAATCATTTTGAGGATACAGCATGTTCTCTGTGTGTATGTGCGTGTTTGTCCCTGCCGTCAGCGTTTACGCGCACGTGTAGTACCCAGATGAATGTGGGTTCCCACACCTCCGAGCCCAAGGAATGACCTAGAACAATTTGTGTTCAGCCTCCCTCTCCTATCCACACACACGTACAAGCCTTCGCCTACTCTTAAGAACATGTATCCGCTCATCCCACAGGTCGCAAGTAGGAGTCTGAAGGACTGTCAAACCCTCGATTAACCACCATGTCTAAGCACCAGTTCATTAGCGCCTTAGATAGTGGCGTGATTGACGTTTACACTCACATTAATTGTCGAGCGTTTATCCGACTCTATTTGGTGTCGGCCTGAGAGTGAAACCAATTGCGGTTAGTTATTATATGTAATTAATGTTACGTATATAGACCCCTAGATCTTAGATACACTCCGTACTTTGAGCAATTTAGGATCGGTCATTACGAGTAATTCAACATTATGACCCGAAGAAAAGTTCTCAGAGATTTAACTTCGAAGAAAAATGTTAGTCCGCTGCAGATAGAAATTGGGTGTTGCTGGCCCGAAAACACTGCATTCCTATGGCGCGTTTCTATGTTATTTCATCTCATCATCGTTTCCTCTTCGTAACTCGCTGGATTAAGGGTAACGGTCACAAATAACAACCTAATGGTAATGCGTTCGAACCCTGCTATCTCTATCTGATGAGATGAAATAACACTGAAACGCATCATAGGAGTGCAGTGTTTTCGGGCGGGTAACATCCAGTTTCTATTTGCTTTAGCTAAGGTCCTAGTGATGGAACAACCAAGGTTCGCTTTAATGCGAATCGCGGTCAACATTGAGATTGTGTGCCGTAATACATCCATGCAACGTGTAACGCAAAATGACCCTGAAAATTAGTCTGCTACATTTTCTGGCAAGCAGTAGACAAAGATAGCCGGTAGAGCATTTTGGTGTTAGCAACTTGTAAAGACATAAACAAGCGTACTTGGAGACATACGATACTGAAATAAGAGCTCGACAACGGAAAAGGTGGATACGTCAATGACGCTACGTTGCGCTGGTTCAAGCAAATGAGGGCAGCTAACACTCGAATTTCTGGGCCGAAAATTCAAGAAATTGCTAAGATTCTCACAAGAATATGGGGTTGCATACTTTCAGGCATTCAATAACTTGTAAGCGTAATGTAAACTACGACCTCAATTTTCCAAAAGTGTTATTCGTGGTGGATCCAACGAAGTGCCTGAAGAGTTTAAGACGGCATCGAAAAATTGCCCAACTTCAGCAAGAGCTTCAACGATGATGACACTAGTGACGCTGACGAATGCAGTCTCTTTTTCAACGCGAAGTGTAACAGAAGCCTCGTTATAAATGGTGACAAACGCAAGAGCGGAAAACATGCCAAAGAACGTTTCCCATTTCTGTGGCGATCGAGCCAAACTGGATAGAAGCGAATGCCTCTGGTCATTTGTTAATCAGCTAGACCACTTGCGTTCAAAAACCTAAAGACCGAAAACCTTTCAGTCACATGGAGATCAAATCGATCTGCGTAGATCAGAAGTATCGACAAATAAATTATGAAGCAGAAACGGTTCATTATCCTAACAGTGGACAATTGTCCTAGTCATACTCACTTAAAATATCTCACAAATATTACACTTAAGTTTCTGCCTCTAAACATGACCTCACAATTTCAACCTCTGCTCCAAAGAATCAGCAAACAAGAAGAAGGACTGAGAGACGATTTAAATCACAGAAAAGCCAAAAGAAGATAAAGTCTGACATCTTTAATGCAACTGAGATCATTTGCTGTGGAAAAATGGCTAAGCATGCTCAATAGTGCGGCTTGTGTTGAGAGCACCTTTTTCAGTTACCATTGTGATAAGAGAAAGCAACAGATAATGCTTGATATTTTCTTCAAAAATAACTTAACACGAAATGCGCACTGCGTTTTTACTTATTACAACACTGTATGGTTGAACTGCGTTTGCCGTTACATGAGACACAATGTGTCTGAAGCGAGTTTATGCAAAAATAAATTTCACACTCTACTACTCACAACGGGTAAGTAGGTTAGGCTAAGATTTGGCATAGACCCTCCATTTGTTGACTACTACAAGTTGACTAGTTTGGTCCACTCCCTTGAGTGGTTCTACTGTAATTGACTTTCCGTAAATAACGCACTAGATTATGCATCCACACCGTGCAGGGAACAACTCCGGACCGGCTATTACGCCTATCGAAGCGTTAAGAACCTAAGGAAAGACCACAAAGTCAACGCTCAAGGACGAGGTTCATCTGCTATATTTTCTGGAAACTAGCAGCCAAAGAAAGACGGTAAAACATGTTAGTGTTTGCAAGACAGCATTTCCGAATATCTAACTATATAAGCACGAGTACTTGGAAAAATACGATAAGGTAAGAGGAGATCTACGGCGGTAGAGGCAAGAACCTACACATGATGAAGTCAGTGAGGCTATACTGAACTGGTTCAAACAAATGAGGTCTGTTAATGCTCGAATCTCCGGGCCGATGATACAATAAATTGATAAAAGAGTATCGGAAAATTTTGGGTTACAGATACTCTTACCTCTAACGTTTGACTAGGAAATTTAAACTGTCATATAACATTTTGTGTGGTGAATCAAATGAAGTTCCCGAAAAGTGTTTTCAAGGATTCAACGAAAAATTTCCTGACTTCATCAAGGATTTCAACTATGATGACATTTTTAACTCTGACGAGTGCGGTCTCTTAAACAACGCGATGCATGGTAGGAGCCTTGTTATAAAGATGGGGAAATATAAGAATAAAAGGCACTCCAAAGTTAGACTTGGAGAATCCGCTGTGGTTGGGTTGGTACAAGTAACCTCTATTGAGACTTCGGTTCACTTGAGGTGGACCTCGGTCATTCCGATCACAAGGACCGTAGGTAAAATGGACATATTATGGTGTTGCTCATCTCAACACTGGCAACCCACGACCTCGGTTTCGTCCTAGTGTGGACTCATCAGATGGAGGTGGCCTGATTTCCAGCCCAGCTCAGGCTATCTCCACCTGATGAGTCCAAACCAGGACGAAACCGCGGTCGTCGGTTGCCAGTGTTGAGATGAGCAACACCATAATATGTTCATTTTACCTACGGTCCTTGTGATCGGAATGACCGAGGTCCACCTCAGGTGAACCGAGGTCTCAATAGAGGCTGCTTGTAGCAACCCAACCATACAGCGGATTCTTCAAGTCCAACTTTGCATTCCTTTCCGCTGTGTCAAGCGTTGCTCATGGATCTCAGCGGCATAGTATTTATGATGTGAACCTTGAACCACTAGGCTCTGATTTCCAGCCCAGCTTAGGCTATCTCCACCTAATGAGTCCAAACCAGGATGAAACCGCGGTCGTGGGGTGCCAGTGTTGGGATGAACAACACCATAATATGTCCTCTACAAAGAACGCTTTACAGTGAAGAGGAGCTAAAGCCTTTAATCACTTCTAAGCTAGGTAGACCACGTGTGTTCAATAATCTGAGTGGTGAAAACCTTCCAGTCACCTGGAGATCAAAGAAATTTGTATGGATGACTGCTGCCATATATGACCACTGGATAAGAAAAATCAACCGAGAAATGATGAAGTAGGAACGATTCATTCTACTGTCAGCAGATGATTGCCCCAGTCAGATGCATATCGACAAGCTCACGAACATTCCAATAAAATTTCTGCCTCCAAATATGATTTCAAGAATTCAATACATGGACCAAGGAATCATCAAAAGATGTAAAACGCATAAACGAGCCAAGCTCATGCAATGGGTTATGGGAAAAGTGCATCCCAATGATCTGCATGCGGCAAGAACTTCGTCTACTGCTCCAGTTAATGCTCTAGATGCTGTGTTTTGGATAAGCTTCGTCTGGCACGAAATTCAGTTAGAAACAATACCTAAGTGCTTCAAGAAAGCTGGATTCGTTCAGGCTCTCGAGTAGGACGCTTTAGGTTTAATATACATTCCATCTCCGATTACAGATTTCGGGAGAACAGATTTTCAAGTTTGCTGTAATGGATGAGTATTTGGTAATCTGCATCGAATCATATTAAGATGTTATTTTCAAGATACTGAATGCGGTACACCCCTATGGGAAGAAATAAGAAGTGCGTTTATGATGAGGAAGAACGAAGGAAA